TAGTTAATTCAAATTCACTAAAGAAAATATAAACATGATGATTTATCACAATTTATTTTGAAATCTATTAACCATGAGTATATATGGTGTACATATTGTTTGGGGCGGCTGGGTAGCCTAGTGGTTAAGGCATGCGTTCGTCATGCCGAAGATCCAGGTTCGATTCCCCACATGGGTACAATGTGTGAAGCACATTTCTGGTGTCCCCCGCTGTGATATTGCTGGAATATTGCTAAAAGCGGCGTAAAACCATACTCACTAGCTCACATATTCTATTTGGAAAACAGTATCCTTACAAGTACCAGAAAGTATATTAAACAGGAACAGATAAACAGGACATGAAGGGTTAGTGAGACTATGTCACACTATATGTTGTGTGTGTGTAACAGTATTGTGTCTTTTCCATTTTCAATGTTGGTTGTTTATTTTTTGTTGGCTATGCAAAATAAATATTTTATAAAATCAAAGTTTGTTTTGTTCAGCTTCGGTTTATCCAATCATTGTGTGTGTGTGTGTGTGTGTGTGTGTGTGTGTGTGTGTGTGTGTGTGTGTGTGTGTGTGTGTGTGTGTGTGTGTGTGTGTGTGTGTGTGTGTGTGTGTGTGTGTATTAATCATGTCAAAGTACACAATCAAACTTTTACACCATCATGAAATGAAGACATGAGTTAATAAATTCCATACTGGGGGCCGTGGGGTAGCCTAGAGGTTAAAGCATTTGTTTGTCACGCCAAAGACCCGGGTTCAGTTCCCTACATGTGTACAATTTGTAAAGCCCATTTCTGGTGTCTTCGACCCACACCACCCGTGATATTACTGGAATATTGCTAAAAGTGGCGTAGTACGATACTTATTCACTGTTCCTTGCTGCATTTTCAGAAGGATACCCGACTGAGACATTGTTAGATTTCAAGCAGGCCAGTCTTTGGTGTATCCCTTTAATGCCAAGTGCCAGGCAGGGTATGAAAAAAACCAACACCTTTTAACATTTTGCCATGACAAAGCTTAGTGTTGAGCATCCTCACACTGTCCAGGGCCCTGTTTCAAAAAGCAATCATTGCACTACGACTATCGTAACTCTGTGTTAAAGTATAGGAGATACGATAGTTGTAGCGCTACGACTGTCGTAACTCTATGTTAAAGTATAAGAGATACAATAGTTGTAGCGCTACGACTGTCGTAATTCTATGTTAAAGTACAGGAGATACAATAGTCGTAGCGCTATGACTGTCGTAACTCTATGTTAAACTATAGGAGATATGATAGTCGTAGCGCTATGACTGTCGTAACTCTATGTTAAACTATAGGAGTTATGACTCTATGACTGTCGTAACTCTATGTTAAACTATAGGAGATACAATGATCGATGGTATGTCGTAGCGCTACTGTCGTAATTCTATGTTAAAGTACAGGAGATACAATAGTCGTAGCACTATGACAGTCGTAACTCTATGTTAAAGTATAGGAGATACAATAGTCGTAGCGCTATGACTGTCGTAACTCTATGTTAAAGTATAGGAGATACGATAGTTGTAGTGCTAACCAACCAATAACTCTATGTTAAAGTATAGGAGATACGATAGTCGTAGTGCTATGACTGTCGTAACTCTACGTAAAGTATAGGAGATACAATAGTCGTAGCGCTATGACTGTCGTAACTCTATGTTAAAGTACAGGAGATACAATAGTCGTAGCGCTATGACTGTCGTAACTCTATGTTAAAGTATAGGAGATACAATAGTCGTAGCGCTATGACTGTCGTAACTCTATGTTTAAGTACAGGAGATACAATAGTCGTAATAACTCTATGTTAAAGTATAGGAGATATGATAGTCGTAGTGCTATGACTGTCGTAACTCTATGTTAAACTATAGGAGATATGATAGTCGTAGCGCTATGACTGTCGTAACTCTATGTTAAACTATAGGAGATATGATAGTCGTAGCGCTATGACTGTCGTAACTCTATGTTAAGGTATAGGAGATACAATAGTCGTAGCGCTATGACTGTCGTAACTATGTTAAGGTATAGGAGATACAATAGTCGTAGCGCTATGACTGTCGTAACTCTATGTTAAAGTATAGGAGATACAATAGTCGTAGCGCTATGACTGTCGTAACTCTATGTTAAAGTATAGGAGATACGATAGTTGTAGTGCTAACCAACCAATAACTCTATGTTAAAGTATAGGAGATACGATAGTCGTAGTGCTATGACTGTCGTAACTCTACGTAAAGTATAGGAGATACAATAGTCGTAGCGTTATGACTGTCGTAACTCTATGTTAAAGTATAGGAGATACGATAGTTGTAGTGCTAACCAACCAATAACTCTATGTTAAAGTATAGGAGATATGGAGCTATGACTGTCGTAACTCTATGTTAAAGTATAGGAGATATGATAGTCGAAGCTATTATGACTGTCGTAACTCTATGTTAAACTATAGGAGATATGATAGTCGTAGGGCTATGACTGTCGTAACTCTATGTTAAAGTATAGGAGATACAATAGTCGTAGCGCTATGACTGTCGTAACTATGTTAAAGTATAGGAGATACAATAGTCGTAGCGCTATGACTGTCGTAACTCTATGTTAAAGTATAGGAGATACAATAGTTAAAGCGCTATGACTGTCGTAACTCTATGTTAAAGTATAGGAGATACAATAGTCGTAGGGCTATGACTGTCGTAACTCTATGTTAAACTATAGGAGATGCAATAGTAGCGCTATGACTGTCGTAACTCTATGTTAAAGTATAGGAGATACAATAGTCGTAGCGCTATGACTGTCGTGAACTCTATGTTAAACTATAGGAGATATGATAGTCGAGTGGCTATGACTGTCGTAACTCTATGTTAAAGTATAGGAGATACAATAGTCGTGATGGCTATGACTGTCGTGTAACTCTATGTTAAAGTATAGGAGATACAATAGTCGTAGCGCTATGACTGTCGTGTAACTCTATGTTAAAGTATAGGAGATACAATAGTCGAAGCTATGACTGTCGTAACTCTATGTTAAAGTATAGGAGATACAATAGTAAAGTGGCTATGACTGTCGTAACTCTATGTTAAAGTATAGGAGATACAATAATTCGTAGTGCTATGACTGTCGTAACTCTATGTTAAAGTATAGGAGATACAATAGTCGAGCTATGACTGTCGTGAACTCTATGTTAAACTATAGGAGATACAATAATAAGTAGTGCTTATGACTGTCGTAACTCTATGTTAAAGTATAGGAGATACAATAGTCGTAGCTTATGACTGTCGCGTAACTCTATGTTAAAGTATAGGAGATACAATAGTCGAAAGCTATGACTGTCGTAACTCTATGTTAAAGTATAGGAGATACAATAGTCGTAAGTAGCTATGACTGTCGTAACTCTATGTTAAAGTATAGGAGATGCAATAGTCAAAGTGGCTATGACAACTCTATGGAAACATAGGAGACAATAGTGAGTGAGTGAGTTTAGTTTTCACGCTAATGAGCACTCAGCAATATTCCAAAGTATATGGCAATAAATAATCGAGTCTGACCAGACAATCCAGTGATCAAAAGCATAGGAGATATGATAGTGGGAAGGGCTATGACATGTCGTAACTCCATGTTAAACTATAGGAGATGCAATAGTTGTAGCGGTATGACTGTCTTTACTCTATGTTAAAGTATAGGAGATACAATAGTTAAAGCGCTATGACAACTTGGGGAAACAAGGCCCAGACTAATGATCTACCTACAAGACAATGGAGACAGTTTCAGACAATTACAACACTGACAACTTTAAAGTAGATGTAGAATAATTCCTGTTTTATTGCATTCAATAGTCACGTTCAGTTCAATGCATATTTGTTTCACTTGAATTCCCTGCTTTCAATCACAACCTGTACCCATATATTCTAAAATATACAAAATTCACACATCAAGTCCGTCAAGTTATGAAACCAACCAATAGACGCGTATCTACACTGTTTGGTACCAAACATAAAAATACTGGCAAGGTATACAAGATAATAACATCATCAGAAATAGGTCATAGATTAATGGCCTCTGAATGCTGAATTGGTAAGGGATACTGGGTGGAGGAAGTGATTTTATCTAAACCATTACTTTTTTATCACATACATGCATGATGTATATTTGTTACAAAAAAGATTTTCACACATGATTAATAAACTACTTGAGATAAGGTTGAAAAAAACGTGTTATTAATACAAGTTCTAATTTCATGTACAATTTATTTCATGCTTAATACTTATCATATATGCAGTCATGAAATGTTTACCATGAACACATTTGTTTGTGGCACAATTGAAGGCACAGCAGGTTTAGAGAAGAATATTGGAATGTCTCTTACAATGCATTCACAAAAATGTATGATCCTATTGTTTATCAGTATTACAAAAGGAAAATGAACATCAACACATTCACACGTAACATTTAAAAATAGTGATTAATGGACAAAATGGACTGCATATAATGGACTGCATATCACCCTTGGAAAAAAAGCAATGAATACACTATGGACATCAACTCATTCACACGTCACCCTAATAAAAAATTGTACACCATAGACAATGTACATTGACCAACTTTAATCACTATGAAAGTGCCCCTGTATCTCTTAGAGGCCTCTGTGTGTCAGAAGCCATAACAAGCTAAATCCCTGAGTTCTGATTATTCACAATGGTGGCAGTACAGCTCTTGTAATCTTCGGAGGCTGCCTCAACCATTATGAGGCTGGCCTTCATTCTTCATCATTACAGCCTGGAAAACAAAACACAACAAAATTTCAAATTTCCTTCCAACAGAAACATCATTTGGTTGAGATCATGAAGGTGTTATTGGCAGGACATGGAGACTCCATATTATTGTGATTTTATTTTTACAGGTCAGAAAGGAAAGAAAGCAGACATAGCCTACTCATCAGGGGTTATTTGTGGACACCAATTCTACCATTAAAAGAAATATAGTGGTAGTTACAAATTCAAATGGAACATACCTCATATGCAGCCCTCTCGACATTCCACAAGGATTTCATTGATGCCAACATATTCAGGCTGTGAGGCTGCGTAAACAACGGCACGGGCGACATCCTCTGGCTCCAGGACTTTACACGTCTCACTCATGTCATACAGGGACTTTGCCTGCAATGGTCATGATGAAAAGTTGCTTCATTACAATTCCATCCCCAGTTAGCCAGGGTATACATGTAATTATAACGTAAACATTCCCTCTGGATTATGGTAGCCTTATTCCAGGGGCGGCGGGGTAGCCTAGTGATCAAAGTGTTGGCTCGTCACGCCGAAGACCCGGGTTCGAATCCCCACATGGGTACAATGTGTGAAGCCCATTTCTGGTGTCCCCCGCCATGTTGCTGCTGGAATATTGCTAAAAGCGGCGTAAAACCAAACTCAGTCAGTGGTAGCCTTATTCCTGTGGATACACAGAATACATACAGAAAATCGAAAGAAATTTTAACACTAAGTCATAGCTATTCCTAGTGGTATACCTAGTCTACCCCTGAGTTATCTCCCTTGATCCTGACGTCACTATATTGTTCTCCTAGAATCCTTCATAATTTTTCTGTTAGCCAGGGTATACATGTATTTCCAATGAGTAATAATAAATACCCGGGACTTAATCCCTACCACAGTGTGTTATAATATTACGTAAAGCATAACCAGGAATAACCTTATCACTCACCAACTTCTGAAATGCCATTCAAACATATCAACCATAAAGTATCTTAATTTTCCATAACCAGGAAATATCCACAACTATATTGTAACTAGTTTCAGAAACCAGTTTGTATATAATCTATCATTCCCTAAATACTTTGGGTACTTGGGAGATTACTTTAAGACACACAGGTTTACACGAGAAATTTCACAGGATACACAAAGTGTGTGGAGAGATTTGCCTCCCCCACAAACTTTGCCTTGTCACATCGCTATCTCTGATCACTGAAATTTGGTTGGACAGTTATAATTAGACATAATTATAATATATATAGACTTGTGTCAATAGACCAAGACAAAAATGTATTTGGCAAATTGGTCCCAGGTATTGTTAATACTTAATGAATAATACACTGGATGATAAGATGTTACACACCACCAAGAATACCGATCTTAATACGAATATAGACACAAAATGTGTCCTTAAAATATTTACTCAAGCCAAACCTTTTACTATATACTGGGCAAGTATTACAGAAATTTTCAATAACATGTCTTCATCTTAATTTCCAACAAACAAATGATGTGAGATCTAAGCATCTTAGACATCATAAATGTCTTGGATTTGACAGCTCATACCTCAGCATCAGTTGTGTGACCTTGAAGTTCTGTCTTTACGTCTCCTGGCTGGATACATGTGACCTTGACCCCTAACCCCTTGACCTCATGACGCAAGGCCTGGGACATTCCTTCCACGAAGAACTTGGTGCCTGAATAGACAGCCAGGCCTGGAAATCCCTGAATGAAACAAGTAGCAAAATGAATTTTTATGGCATCCAGTGTTTATTTCAAGGGCTGCTATCCCTTTAATGTTGTGTTTTTTTTAAATGCCACTTGTTTTTTTTAAAATATATGTCTTTGTTTGGAAGGCCCTTTCAATCAAGATGTCATAAGAGTCCCATATCAATGATGCTATGAGTAACAAGGGAATTCCATTGAGGCAAATTAAGTCACATGAAACTTTAGTTCTTCAAGCCTCTGGGTATGGCTCAATGACTGCCTTTAATGTCTCATTCAGTTCTTAAATTTTCACCTTCCTGCCAGCATCCGACGAGATGTTGATGATGTGACCTTTCCTTCTCTTCACCATCCCATCGAGGACACTACCAATACAGTTGGTCACTCCCTGCAAACAGAGGGCACAGTCAAATACCAATACAACTCATCATGTGTAGTACAGTTTGACTATTGGTTAGTGCTGGTATTGGCATACAACTTGGGATACGATACATCACGATGCTAAAATTTTAGTCACAACGATATATTGCCAAAGCATCGTGCACCGAAGCTGCGATACGATACGAATCCCGATGTAAGGGTGATGATACGATACACATCACGATACTAAAATATTTCATTCTAACACCAACTATAAAACACCTGAATATCAAAACAAAACCATTTTAAATGATTTCGTCAAATTCCACCAGCGTTTTTCAATGTTCATTCGGAAATGAGATAATTAAGTTTATACAAGGTCATCGTGAATGATAAAAACATGTGAGTGTGGGGGAAGGATCAGTTATCATCACAAAACCACTCTGGTAGTTTGTCGTGGCAGAGTGAATGCCCTTTACTAAAGTGACACCATTCTTCAGAACAACGTCGTTCCCTTCTTTAACCAACATCAAGATCTGCACACATTCCAGTTTCTGGCAAACAACAACATCCCTCTACTTCCATGGCCTGCATTGTCACTAGATTTGCCTCCCATTGAACACTTGTGGGATTACATCGGCCAACGCCTCTCACATCGCCCACAGATCAACAACCTTGGGGAATTTGAGAATGCCTTGTGGAATGCATTGGCTCAAAACATTATTCAGAGACTTATCAGTTCAATGAGCAGACGCTGCACCGCTTGTGTTGCTGCTAACGGTGGTCATACACGTTACTGACTTTCCAATTTGACTCCATCTTTCTTTCATGGTCAGCTGAATTAAAACTTCACTGTTTTGCTGGATTGGTTTTTGTTTCTTTTCTTTACCAATCATTGGACTACAAAAGTATGTAAAATTAACACCGATTGCTCATTTATGCTCTTGGAAATCCAAACTAATACAGGTGGTGCGTTTTCAATGATGTTCAGTATATTGTATACGTATGTATATCATGACTTATATAGCATATATATAACATATCATGGTACACCTACAGAATACCGGATACCTACCAACCATATTCTTTGTTAGCACGCACACTTCCTATTATAGGGAAGCACGAGCTATAAAATTCGAAAAAATCAGCGAGCATTAAAATGAAAAATAACCATTAAAATTGGATTGATTGAGACGACTTCTGGTTAGTAAAACTAACCAACGATTTTTAAAATGGAAGATAAGTTATCACAAATAAAAAATATATGCGTCTTTGAAAAAAACCGACCACGGAATTCTGGGAGTTGGAGCGAATGAGCATGGGAAATTTCTGAAAGGTAAGTGTTCAGTGATTGGTCAGTTTGTGTCTACATCATAGCCTAGTAATGGCCATATTTGGAAGTCTACAACTACTACTCGGCGTTCAGAAGATGCGATTGTGGGATGTATTCAAGTTATCGGAAGACAAAGTAGAACTTCATCGATTTTTAAGAAACAAGGGACTTTTTGGAAACTGGGACGGGAAAACATGCGGTAAATGTTGTATTGGGAAATTTTATTTGTGTAAAGATAAAAGCTACAGCAAAGACAATTTGTGTTGGAAATGTAGCAAGAAATCGTGCGGCAAAAAGCTTTCTATTCACCACAATTCGTGGTTTGAAAACAGCAAATTAGATTGTGGCAAAATTCTATTGCTCACATATTGTTGGATTTTCAAGTTGTCTCAAGATTTTGTACGTCGGGAACTAGACATTTCGTCTTGCAACACTTCTGTAGACTGGTACCACTTTTGTCGCGAAGTGTGTGTTGTTGTAGCAGATTCTGACAGTGATAGGATCGGTGGGGAGGGAAGAATAGTGGAGATTGACGAATCAAAGTTTGGAAAAAGAAAATTTAATCGGGGAAAAAGGGTTGAGGGTCAGTGGGTTTTCGGGGGAATCGATCGGGAATCCAAAGACTGTTTTTTGCATGTGTGGACAAATGTGACTCTGAGACACTAATTCCGATAATAAAGAAATACATCAAACCAGGCACCACAATAATAAGCGATTGCTGGAAAGCCTATGACTGCTTGAAGCATGAAGACTTTCTCCACTTGAAAGTGAATCACTCGATCCATTTCAAGGACCCCGAGACAGGAGCACATACTAACACCATTGAGTCCTCTTGGGGTGCCTTGAAAAGATCTCTTCCACGATCAGGCACTACTTAGGGGTTGTATTTGTAATATTTTGAAGAATTTTGTGTAAGAAGGAAGTACTTGAGTAACAGGGAGGACATGTTTATAGCTTTCTTGGAGCTTATCAGTTGTGTATATAAACCCCATGACAGAGATGATGAAATTGTGCATGTGAGACGCCCCTTCGCGCCCCTTCGCTCCCCTGCAACCCGATGCTGATGATTTTGTTCTGTGAAGGTAAGAATCATATCTAATGTTTAATCTAACCCTAAACCATAACCCTAACCCTAAACCCTAATGCTCGTAATGTCGAGTATGCAACATAAACAAAACGCCGTTACTAAGGAACTCAGTTGCACACATTTTGTGCGCAGTTCTAAAATAAGCTTTCAAAGATGGCGGAAGGTATCCGGTATTCTGTAGTCTTGCCCATATCATGATCTATGTATCATGATAAAGACTGCATCATGAACTTTCTGTTTTGTTTCACCCCAAAGAATCGGAATGTCCCGAAAGTGAAATCAGCACTTACTTTACAGTTGACGTCTATCTGTGTGTCCCACTGATCCAAATTCAGCTTGGTCATCAGTGTATAGTACATGATGCCGGCGCAGTTCACAAGGATGTCCACGGGGCCCAATGTCATCTCGGTGTGCTTCACCAGCTCTTCAACCTCAACACACAAACATCACATATATTACACAGAATCTTTGTGGTATTTTTTATTGTTTAACTCACACTTAGCATTATTCCACATTTGTGACAGTGTAGTGTATCACCTTCACATATCACCATACAACATCTTCTTGTTTCACACACTTTAATCGCCCAAGAGAAACATTAGAGGTACATCACTAGGTTGGAAGATGGCCGCCGAGTGACGTCACATAGCACTCGCTTATATTTATACTCAACCCTAAAATAATCTCTAACCCAGCCATGCGGGAAGCCCATGCACGTGAATAACATGAATATCCTCAATCCAAAGTTCAACCAATCAATACATTACAGACAGGGACCTGAATTTATTACGTCATGACCAGATAGTCCAGTGATTGATATTGTGAGCAATGATCCATGTCATATCTGTTTGGTCGTCACTTAACACTGCCCTAGGTTACTGGGGGCCTAGAACCAGGAATGTCCACATGAGACGACAAACAGTAATCAGCGACCCTGGCCTGTTTGGTCGTCTCTTATAACCATCACACTTAAATATTCTGATATTCCGAGATATTCTGTACCAAGCATTGTGCTTACATATAGTACTAGCAACTGAATGACTATACTGCACACATAAAAGCATACCCTATTTTACTATTAACATTCAATTACTTCTGGGTAATGAGCAATCCATGAGCTCACAGTGGGATATCATCTACATCATCAGTGAACCATCACCTATTTTCCTTTTCCACAGCCAGTGTGCTGAAATAGCCACTGGCCCGCTAGCCCGTTAGCTAGTTAAAATCCAGTTGGGCCAGCAAATGATCTCCACAGTCACTGGCCTGACTGGCTGGTGAATTTTCATGGGGTCATTTTGGAAATATATCACTCTCTACGACTTGTTAAGTAATAATATACGTTGGAATCATGCAAGATAATGTGCTGATAAAAAATATTCATCATATTAGCAGCTTACCTTTGTGTAATATTTGCTTAGTTTCTACATTCGAAATTTTAGGCTAGTGAATTATTTTGTGGGCTAGTAACTTTCAGGCATAACTAGCCCGACTGGCTAGCAAAATTTGGTTTTCGCACACTGGTCACAGTCAATGAGCTAAGATGTGGTTAAAAAATAAAAAAACATAAATATATTCTGCCAATACCTCACTTCTCTTCGTAACATCAGTCTTAACAGAAATTGCAACTCCGCCAAATTCAGCCATGCTTTTCTCTATCTCCCTCAGTTTATCTTCTCTTCTTGCAGCCATAGCAACCTTGGCACCATCATGAGCCATTGCAAGTGCAATGGCTGCTCCTATGCCAGACGATGCTCCTGTCACTATGACAACCTTTCCATCTAAAGCACCTGTTCCTGTTCCTGGATGAAAAATATATGATAATTATCACACAGATGTAGTTTTATGGTTTACCATGAAAATATTACATTTCCAAATGAAATTAACATGATATCATTAATGAAAGTATTAATTCCTCTATGGATCAATATATTCAATAACTTATTTCAGGCCCAACGATAACAGCACTGAACAAGGGCTGGTTGGCTCAGAGTCAGTATACTGTGTCAGAGTAGGGTATCCATGTCCATAGCAGCATGGTTTATCATCCCAAACTGTGTTCCACTGGAGATATTGCTTGTGTGAGATGAAACGATATCTCCTAGAGATATCGTTTTGACAGTTGATTTTGTAGAATGCCCTGACGTCATCAACTGCATGACCCACAATGCTATGACGTCAAAAACCTGATGACGTCACAATGCTATGACATTGCCGGACTGCGAGTCTAATGGCAGTATCGTGTTAAGAGATGTACATTTTTCATTGAAAACTAATGAAGAGTGATTTTTGATGATAAATAGAATCTCACCCTGTCTTCTGATATCAAATATATCAACACTCATGGATAAAAGTAAAAATATCCTCGGCAAGCCTCGGATATTTGTAACTTTATCAACTCGTGGTGATATATTTGATATCAAAAGACTCTCGGGTGAGATTCTATTTATCTCAGTGAGATAGAACAATGAAACTGGCATTAGTTCACACTAGTATCAGCATATATGTATAATGCATCATACAGGATAATTTTTAATCATCTGAAAGTTTCATTTGGATTGGTATGGTGATATGGAAAAATGATGATCTGATGAATTTATAAGGTCAGAAAATCTAACGAAGCAAAAACAAATGTCAGGCTTCATATGAAACTTCCTCTTATTTTGAACCATCAAAAAATCCTCTCTACAGAAAGAATGCATAACAATTTTTGTTGAAAATTGGAAATGAAAAATATGAGTCACAATTCTACCCCACATAAATAAACCAGTCATAATGAATATAAAGAACATGAAAATCCCACAACCTGAATAAACAAGAAATATGTTATTTAAAACATTATACCATATTTGCCATTATATGCATCCCAGGGGTGGAAATAACATTAAAATTGATAGTGTACTCCGGTACAGTGGCACATGTAAAGTCACTTGCCCTGATAATTTTCCCACTATACCGACCGTTTTCTTGCTGATTTTTTAAATAAACAACATAATTAACATTGGAAAGTCAACTGGACACCGGTACAGTGTGATATACAAATTTGCTTGCCCGACAGAAAAAAACACTGGACTCGGACGTCGGGCAATGGGTTATTTCCACCCCTGCATCCCCTGACCAACTTCTATATAACACACTTTTTTTAAAAAAAAGCAGCAGCAGGTGTATGGTGCTGTCCAGAAAAACATGCACCAATATTTGAAATACTGTATGTTTGTTTATTTCAGCTAAATCTAAAAAATATATTTAACTTGTGATTTTCCCTCTGTCAGTTTTCTAATCATTTATTATGGTTAATGCGGTAAGCAAGTTTCTATTATTATCTACTCTATTATGAAACATATCTGAGATAAGTCAACACACGTTTGCTCAATATCTGGAATAGATGCCATGTGTTAAATCCCACTAGTTCAAGACACACTTTTCATAACCCAAGACTTAGTAGGTAAAATCATGAATAGGACAATCACTTTAGTACTAGTGTTGGGAATTGGTTGAAATCTCACAATTGATGATTGCCTCATTACCAACAAACAATCATAAAAAAAAATTGGTTAGCATCATTATTCAGATTTTCCTGTCCAGGTTGTTATTGCAGATATGTATAACATGATGCAACTTGCTTCTTTAAAGTGATGACTAATATATCATGAACATAAACTTCCTGGAGTCTTAGAGAAATATTCAGTCATGGCTTTTCAGTTAGTGAAGTGAGTTTTCTAAGAATTAAACACGTTTTCAGGCCCTGACAACTTCTAAGATATGTTCCATTGTCAAGTTTTTCAAAGACTAAAACAGTAGTTCCAAAATCATTTATGTTCGATTATGAGAAAATGTGATCGATTGCTTTGTCGTTTGGTCACTGCGACCAATCTTCGATTATTTCAATTAATTGGAACACCACTATTTAGTACATGTAATAGATGACTACGTGAACAGTGTCCTGATAGGTAGAGAATATTATCAATAGTGTCCTTACCCTGAAAGCTAACAATCATTATTAGCATCATAATATATGTGTATATTCCCAAATCTCATACATAAACTGCTATATCAACACAAAATTGCAATGTTTAAATCAGTCTAACCCTTCGCAGATGAAGTCTGAGCAGCCATCTCTGTGTGACACTTGCTAATAACCGTGATAGATGCCGGCTGTTGTACTATTGGATGAATGAATCTACCACACTGCTCAGCACATGAACTCACCCAGCTAACAGTGTCCCATAGAGCATAGAAAACAACAACAAAGAGTTGCTTCCCTTTATCTGACTAAACCAGACTATTTGTCCCTCAATGCCCTATTAGTCAATACTTAACTTATTTCATAATATAAATTATGGTGTTATTGTTAATATTGGATTTTATGGCCCATTTAATCCTTATATCATACATTTAAAGGTATGACAACATAGGTAATTTACATTATACTATAAATATTTTATAAGACATTTTATATTTTTATGCCAGTTGAAAGCAGTTAAAATGAATTTTTCAAACTCAAAACTATCTTACTCTCAAATGAGTATGTCCATCTCTCCTAAATACCATCCTGAATCCCCAATAGCATCTATTGTTTCACACACAGCCTCACTGCTCACCCCTGCATCTTGTATACTACTTTAAACAATTCTTAAAAACATTATGAAAAGGGTACCATTTGATGCCAAAGTACAGAAAAAATATTGAGAAGGTAAAATTTTAATGTCAAGAGTATGATTTTATTTAATGTGGAAACTGTACTGAGTGGGAATTTATGTGCATCCACAAACATACTATTAAGTCACAATAACGACCCGTGAATCCAATATATCAAAAGTTGAGGCAGCTTCAGAAATAATTGAAAAATATTGAAACATGAAAATTAGACATGATGAAAAACGGGTCCAACCTGAGGCAGTGATGACAGTATTTAAACCACATGCTACCTTGATGTACCCAGGTTATTGAAGTCTCCTGTACCTCATGACAATGATATGAGAGCCTTCTAAAATGGGTATCATGTGGTCAGGTTCGCACATGCTTTCAGTCACGTTGGCTAAGGCAAGACTTGATTGTTTGTAGGCAGCCATGATATTGTTAGAATATTGTTGACTGCAGCATAAAACACCTTTCCTTTTTTAATAAAAAACCCTATAAAAATGAAACATCCTAACACAATCTTCCAAATGATCAGTGCATTACTTAAAACATTAGTCAGATTCTGCAAATTGTAATTTCACAAAATAACTGGGAAAGAAACTGCTTGTATGAGTGAATGAGTGAGTGAGTTTAGTTTTACACTGCTTTTTGCAATATTCCAGCAATATCACGACAAGGGACACCAGAAATGGGCTTGACACTTTGTACCCATGTGTGGAATCGAACCCGGGTCTTCGGTGTGATGAGTGTACACTTTAACCACGAGGCTACCCCACCACTACTATGAGACTCAGTCATTACCTGTAGTTGTCCTCCTCCGACGTCTCTTCACGATAAGTTTCTTGTCGAGAAGTTTTGTTAAGTAGTGGTTGAGTAAGACGCTGTCTGTGTAGGCATATGTAAGACCAAGTTGTGACAGCGTGGACAGAAGACTGTCATTTGTGTACATGCTCAGCTTTTCAAAGAATGATGCATCTCTGAAAAATAATGAAAGAAAATAAACAACTGACAGGCAAGTTAATGCCCACCTATTAGCCTGTCGTAACAGTTTCTGAATTAGAAAATTGTTCAAAATATATACTGTAGTGAGAGTTGTATCATAATGGAAGCTTATGAATTAGTCTAATTACCAAGATGAATATCTCAAATAAACAACCTCCTTGAAATCAAATCTTTACTCTGATGCAACAAATTTGACTGAAGTTTGCTTTGGAATAACATATGTTATTTAAATTAACACTGTATATAGTATTTAAATTTATCATTTTATTAACTTTAAAGGATCGTTTAAATTATTTCGACTTGGTTAGATACATTTTTTTAAAGACATGCATTGCCTTAAGAACCAGTTATCCTTGAAGTCTTTGAATGGTATTTTGAAGTAATACATGAAAAATGATGAACACAACAAGGGAAGGGAAGCCAGAAGTTAATTGGTGCTGATTGGTACATGTAATAGCAATGAACAAATATAAGCCAGAAATCTAGGTGTAAATATTTCAGTTATTCATATTTCCCTATGCAATCGTAGATTTAAATAATCCACAGAAATCATTTGATTAGAAACAATGCACAACAAAATATACATATTTCATGATTATCAAGATAATCATTCAACCAGTTGATCAATTGTTCTTTATAAATTGCACCAGAATCAAGAAAAAATAAAATCTGTTTTAGAATTGCTCACTTAATGTATGTGTCCAGAAGCTGAGGTAGCAGACTTGATTGGCTGCTGTGGCCGTTGGACTGCCCCAGAACAGCATTACGCCATTCGGAGAAGGGAACAAACTTGAGGGTAAAGCCATGGCCATACATCCATTCAAACACCCATCTGGAAGTCAACATTATCAAGTATAAATCCTACCAGTTATAAATTCTAACATAGGACGTAACTGCAATGTCCCAGTCTTTGAAAGAGGTAAACATTTAACTAAGTATCTCAATCATCAAAATTCATACTATAAAGTATAAAGTACAGATGTTTTAGATCATAAATTTCAAAACGTTTGGGATCACTACATAGATGCAAACGGTTAACCAAACCACATATGATATAAATAATATTAAAGTGTTTTAAAAATACATGCAATATAGAGTGATTACACAAAAAGTGTCTGTTTGCGTGTACCTTGCTTTGATTGGTTGAGTGTTGATGACATGGAATGTTTTCCCCATTACTGATGGATTCTGGGTAATCCTAACAATGACTTTGGCTGCAAAATCCACGGGTGTCATTTCCATGTTCCAGTTCACTTCCGGAGCCAGTCCTAGTTTTGTACAAGCCTGCAGCACCAGCAAGGTGAAATCTTGAGGGTTCCAGTGTCCTGTCAGACTGTCACCAGACAGGTTACCTGCAGTAAAAGCACTTAGCTAAAAGAAGTTCCCATTTTTGTATAAAAGTTTTACGTGAGAACAATTAGTTTCACATGTGAATGTCAATGGATGTGGCACTGGTGTCTGACACACTATAATTTGGCATGGAGCTGCCTGTGATTGTTGGCTTTTTCTCAAGTGATAAACATCTAAAGCCTGCATCTTTAGCTTACATGTTGTAGTCTTACTGAATTATTGTTAAAAGTTGCCAAAGTTGCTTAAAAGAAAACCCACTAATAAAACACTCTCCAAATAGTTTCCAGAGTAGACAGTAAAGGGAGATAACTCTACCTAATCTGTAAATTGAAACAGGAAGGCCCTTCTTTCCAGCTTTCTTCACCAGTTGCTCAGCAACCCATTTAGATTGTGAATAACCATCTTCCAGGTCGTCATGGTAACTTGATGCATCATCCTCTTCTGAACAATCTTTTAATCCATTTGGGAAAACTGCATCTGTGCTGAAATAACATTTTAATGTGGGTCAGAATACACTTTTTTTTCTGTTTGGTAGTTATTGTCCAGTATTGGCAACATGTTTAGAGGTCACATGTACGTATTCTAATGAATGAAGAAATTAGTAAAATTAACAATATGTGAAGCACAATATCATTGGTACCAAGCAGAACAATACAGGAAATTAACATGACATGAGAACAACTGGATCAATCCACATTAATATCTGCACGTCTTCAAATGGTTGGAACCAGAACAATTGGTTGCAAGAGAATTGCAGTCAGTATATAGTACCTGTCATCTCATGACTCGTGCCAGCAACATGACAGGGCTGGTCTGTCCGACCCCATGTTTCTTTCTACCACATTGAAACATTCTTGATTCTGATTGGTTGAAAACAGCTATCCTTTTCTCTATCGATACCTCCTTATAAATTATGCCGTTCCACGTAAAACAGAGTGCTTATGAAAATATGGATGTATCGCCAGCATACCATCGATCATACATATGAAAGTAGGTGCCAATGATTGGATTATCCGTTACGTAATGCTGCATACGTTCTTCCTTCTATGTCAGAACGACTGTTTATCAAACAAACTGAAATGTATTTCAGTATACAGACAAATACGTCAAAAGTTAACTAACCACTGTATCACGACCACTTAAACTGCGAGGCCACAACAATGAGCAGTCCCGTGAGTGTGTCTGGTGTCGTCTGCAGCTTAAACGGCGGGGTTCACCATATTTAGGTGTTTTCCGTTGGCTCATTTCTACCAGTAAATCACCGGGTTAATGTTGAACATAAGCTCAAACACACAAAACCGACTGGTCATCCCATCCTACAAACTGAAATCCTTCGGACACCGATCATTCTCTTACTCCGCGCCTGTGCTTTGGAACTCTCTCCCATGTGCCCTTAAAAGCTCTGCCACAATTGACATTTTTAAGTCCAGACTTAAAACCCACCTTTTCTCAGTATATTATGTAATACTTCATCTGTAAATACTCCAGTGTAAATATTCTGTAGCGCTTTGAGCATGCCTTAGGGTGTGGAAGGGGCGCATTATAAATATGCATTTATTATTATTATAAGTGTCAGATCCAGATTGTCCCAACGCTGAGTTCAGGCACTTCGTAAATGGCACTATCGCTCTGATAAACTAGACTTGGCAGCTTTGGACGGCGACAGTAACGGAAGTAAGTCAGGTTCAACCACGTCGAAGTTTGGGGTGGAGAGATTGTCATTCGTAATGTACGTATGTTTTACTGTTCGACAGATATTTCAAACAAAGCACACACGAACAATTTTTATAAACCCTTAATTCCTATGATTTTAATAAAGGTTTTGGAGTTTAAATTCGTTTAGCATGTAGTTCACTAGTAATATAACCTGTCACACCTACGTACAATATGGAAGATGTCATGTCGTCTGACAAATAGCTCGTTTGAGTCTAAATAATGTACATGCGCTACAGCTAGGTTGCATTGAAATTAAACTATATATCTTTGGAGAATTATTTCAATACGTCCTGATTATAAACAATAACAACAACAAACAAAACAATTTAAACCACTACACAGCTGTTAAGAAGCCATTTTGACGATAAACCTACTGTGATATTTGATGTAGTTGGGCTGAGGATATGAAAGGCCTACCTTTTGTTTTAATCGCTCGGTTCCCCACAAAAATGGTTCTAACAGTGGGTTTGTGCTACAATTTCATAAAGCTGTCTCTTTTAGGCAAAGGTGTATAATAACAAATATTATCTGCGACAGCTTCTGAATCGGTTCCAGTATTGTGATGGGTATTTGAGAGTGGGACCACGCCCCTGACATAGGTCTCAGATCGAGCCATACAGCCTGTCAGGGGTATATATATACACACATGTACTTCTTAATTTTCTCCAGTAATGAAGATTTACAACAAGGAATGAATATGGGTTATGTACAACATACAAACATTGGAACGGAATTGGACGGATAGTTAGAGAGTCACGTTGTTCAGAGTAGGAAAGCAAATGGATAGACATATAGGGACAGACTGAGATAAATACCGAATAAAGATACAAGCATAGGACTAGGAGAGACATTGAGGTAAAACAGATAAGGGTGGTAGGAGAGGGATGAGACAGAGAGGGATAAAGAAGGGCAGAGATGACAGACAGATATAAATGTACAGGAGGGGCAGATAGGCAGACATGGTATCAATTCAGGTGAGGTGAAATTGGGTTTATCGTCGTGCTTGAGAATAGTTCGCTCATATGACGACGTGCATGCGTGTGTATGTGTATGTGCGGCTGCTTGTACTAGCCCAGACTGAAGCTGGTTTTATAGTGCTAGCCCACTGAGATACCATGCCGCAGCGAAGCATGAATACCCCACTCAGACTCATTATACTGACTCCGAGCCGACCAGTCCTTGTTGTACCTATTAATGCCGAGCGACAGGCAGGGACCAACAAGTACCATATTTTAACGTCTTTGGGTATGACGCGACCTTCCGCTCTCCGGGCAGGCGCTCTAACCACTACACCACGGAGGCGGTCTGGTATCAATTCAGAATGTCAGGGGTATAGTACTGATACAAAAGATCGTCAGCTGCGACATTGAAGTTAAAGTTTGACCGAACTAGCCAGGGATTGGGATAGAGAACTTTGACAGTGGGCCGTTTTCAGGATTATTAGCTATGTTCTGAATTTAAAATGGGCCACTGCCCTTGAATCAATAGTAAACTTTAAACTTTTAATGGGTCATTTTTTATTCTAATGTGCAAAATGGCCCATGGCCCCTGCCTTTCCCAATGCCTGCTAGCAATAGAGAACTAGGGTCTAGTCCACAAAGCGTTTGTGGCGTTACGAGGTGTCGTAACCATAATATAGATCATATGCTTACGTCGTGCTTCGAACGGTTTGTGGATTGGGCCATTGTTTGGCATAGGCGCGAGGGAAGATCTATGCAGCGTCGAGTTGATGGGACAGCTAGGGTCAGTGTGAACCTAATATGAACCTTATGATGCGTACAATACGTCGAATGCGAGAGGTCGACCTATTTGGTCATGAAATCGTACTGATGTGGGCGGTAGTCTCCCACAATGATGAAAATATCCTGGTAAAAGTAATTGTCAAATGCGATTGTGATGACATCCTACAGCAATACATTGTTTCCTTTATTAAACATTCTAACGTAATATTGCAATAGGGCACAATGGACTGCATAACGCATATGTAACTGCAGCATTCGTACGGCACCACAGTGTATCCACCCTCTAGAGATCACCATATTTGAACCCAGCAGAACACCCAAAAGGACAAGATGAATACTGCAACAGCTTGCTCATGCACACAAGAGGCTGAGTGGACGTATAATCCCTTTGGATAATCGGTATTCTCGTTACGTCAGACAGGAAGTGCCAACAGTAATTAACACTAATGACGACGCATGAGCGGAAGTTGTTGTGACCATTTTACATGTGGTGTCTTCATATTAGACACGTGTCTACTATTGGCTTGAGTGAGTCAGTATCGTTTTACACCGCTTTTAGCAATATTCCCGCAATATCACACCACAAATTAGCTTCACACATTGTACCCATATGGGGAATCGAACCCGTCTTCAGCCATCAGGCTATCCCACTGCGCCCGATGACTGCGTAATGATGTACAGTACGAGTGTAATTTCTGTCACGAACAACCATATGGTTAAGCATCTCTTACCTTTGGATTATGCATTGGCTATATACTGGGCTACCTGATCCAGACAGAAATATAGGTTTCCAGACACAGACATCCCACAAGACACTAAAGTTGTAGATTGTGTAACATGTCTGACACAGGTCAAACTACATGGTTACCTGATATAGTGGATGGGTTTTACTTTTCCAGTACAGGCAAACAGAATGATGTTGGCAGTTCCCAGGACATTGGGGCCATGGAGAGCCTGAGAAGACAAACAGCCGCCATGAATATGTGTACAATCAACTCACGATACACATAACCATGAGGTCTTAAAATTAGTCAAATCAAACTAAAGTGAAATATTTATGTGAAAATAATATTGTAAAACCATTGGCTGATAATACTTGACCTTGTAATATCTGATTTATTATATACAATGTATTAAACTTTATCAAACATGTGAAGATCGGGGTTAGAATTGGTCTTCAGCAACCCGTGCTTGTCTTAAGAAGCGACTTTGGTTGTTGCATGTCAACCTATTGCAACTGTGAAGATCACAAGACTCGATTACTTTCAGAAAGCCGTCACATTGGCTTAGTGCAACATTAAAACATTAAATCGAAACTTCACATCATCCGAATAGATGAACGTTTCAGTTTGTTCGCTTTTCATCTTTATGTTCAGTTAGTATGTATGTGTTGTGAAAACAAACACGAATATTCTTTTAATGTCGACAACCAATAATGGCATGCCATCAAACCTAAAGGTCTATAGAAGTAGACTACGAAATGGTGGATCCATATGGTACATACACTATATGGGTAGGCAAGGTTGACAATGGCGGCCGTGTGGATGATGAAGTCGATGTCGGTGCAGAGGTATGTGTAGTCTTCCTCACTCATCCCCAGGTTTATCAAAGCCACGTTAGCTGGGTGGTGAAGTAGAACACGTGATAAGTGTCAAGGAAATGTCGGATTATTACAGAATTTCTGCAAATATGAAAACTGAGGACAACCTGACATGATAACTTGTAGACACAATGATGGAGCTGACATTGGTTCTGTCAGAGAAATCACTATCAGGATCATTGTTTCAGCGACAAAAACAACTCCAGGTTAATACTGACCCTTGATGACTTTTTTTAATGTCCTAATGTGAATTTGTCGTTTTATTTTATCACCCAAGGTCACATGCATAGACAATCCAACAAGGATCTTGAACTGAATTTTCTTATCAAGTCCCAATATATCACACACATATAGATATCTTCTAATTAAATCATAAATTGTATCATATTGTTCTTTGCCAGCAACCCCCTGACATGTCTAAACCAGCTTAAAAGACGTTTATTGGGACGTTCTTGATTTTGTTTTCAGAAGTACCTTGTTACAACATTACCTTTGATAACCGTGACTCTCCTGGCTAGCATGGCTTCTACTTGTTTCTGCTCTTTTGTAGCCTCACTTTCAGATTTACCCAGAATTCCATACTTCCTCAAAGCTTCCTTTATTCTGTCAAGTGCTTCAACCCCAGGCAGTTCCCGCACCAGGCAGTATACCAGTAGCTGTGGAGGGAGACATATACAGGCTTTCTGTAGACAGGTGCTTGAAAGCTGTGTGTACTCTTACACCCTAACCAAGGCAACATACCTGAACGGTTCCAGGATTGTGCTTTTGTAAGTCCAGATTTAAAACTCCTAGCTAGTTATTTAATAATCCCTTTGCATATAGATACCTAGATTCAGTCACGTGTATTGATTTGGAAAATGACAAAAAGATGAATAAAGAGATTTTTCTGGGTTACATCTTCTTTTCATTCTTGAGTACAACGTTTCAAGGCTTGTTCTGGCCCCATCATCAGGTAAAAACGTTTCAGGGCTTGTTCTGGCCCCATCATCAGGTAAAAACGTTTCAAGGCTTGTTCTGGCCCCATCATCAGGTAAAAACGTTTGTTGTTCTGGCCCCATCATCAGGTAAAAACGTTTCAAGGCTTGTTCTGGCCCCATCATCAGGTAAAAACGTTTCAAGGCTTGTTCTGGCCCCATCATCAGGTAAAAACGTTTCAAGGCTTGTTCTGGCCCCATCATCAGGTAAAAACGTTTCAAGGCTTGTTCTGGCCCCATCATCAGGTAAAACGTTTCAAGGCTTGTTCTGGCCCCATCATCAGGTAAAAACGTTTCAAGGCTTGTTCTGGCCCCATCATCAGGTAAAACGTTTCAAGGCTTGTTCTGGCCCCATCATCAGGTAAAAAAACGTTTCAAGGCTTGTTCTGGCCCCATCATCAGGTAAAAACGTTTCAAGGCTTGTTCTGGCCCCATCATCAGGTAAAAAACGTTTCAAGGCTTGTTCTGGCCCCATCATCAGGTAAAAAACGTGTTCTGGGGCAGGTAAAAACGTTTCAGGGCTTGTTCTCATCATCAGGTAAAAACGTTTCAGGGCTTGTTCTGGCCCCATCATCAGGTAAAAACGTTTCAGGGCTTGTTCTGGCCCCATCATCAGGTAAAAACGTTTCAGGGCTTGTTCTGGCCCCATCATCAGGTAAAAACGTTTCAGGGCTTGTTCTGGCCCCATCATCAGGTAAAAACGTTTCAAGGCTTGTTCTGGCCCCATCATCAGGTAAAAACGTTTCAAGGCTTGTTCTGGCCCCATCATCAGGTAAAACGTTTCAGGGCTTGTTCTGGCCCCATCATCAGGTAAAAACGTTTCAGGGCTTGTTCTGGCCCCATCATCAGGTAAAACGTTTCAGGGCTTGTTCTGGCCCCATCATCAGGTAAAAACGTTTCAGGGCTTGTTCTGGCCCCATCATCAGGTAAAAACGTTTTCAGGGCTTGTTCTGGCCCCATCATCAGGTAAAAACGTTTCAGGGCTTGTTCTGGCCCCATCATCAGGTAAAAACGTTTCAGGGCTTGTTCTGGCCCCATCATCAGGTAAAAAAACGTTTCAGGGCTTGTTCTGGCCCCATCATCAGGTAAAAACGTTTCAAGGCTTGTTCTGGCCCCATCATCAGGTAAAAACGTTTCAAGGCTTGTTCTGGCCCCATCATCAGGTAAAACGTTTCAGGGCTTGTTGTTCTGGCCCCATCATCAGGTAAAACGTTTCAAGGCTTGTTCTGGCCCCATCATCAGGTAAAACGTTTCAGGGCTTGTTCTGGCCCCATCATCAGGTAAAAACGTTTCAGGGCTTGTTCTGGCCCCATCATCAGGTAAAACGTTTCAGGGCTTGTTCTGGCCCCATCATCAGGGTAAAACGTTTCAAGGCTTGTTCTGGCCCCATCATCAGGTAAAAAAACGTTTCAGGGCTTGTTCTGGCCCCATCATCAGGTAAAACGTTTCAGGGCTTGTTCTGGCCCCATCATCAGGTAAAAACGTTTCAGGGCTTGTTCTGGCCCCATCATCAGGTAAAACGTTTCAGGGCTTGTTCTGGCCCCATCATCAGGTAAAAACGTTTCAGGGCTTGTTCTGGCCCCCATCATCAGGTAAAACGTTTCAGGGCTTGTTCTGGCCCCATCATCAGGTAAAAACGTTTCAGGGCTTGTTCTGGCCCCATCATCAGGTAAAAAAAACGTTTCAAGGCTTGTTCTGGCCCCATCATCAGGTAAAACGTTTCAGGGCTTGTTCTGGCCCCATCATCAGGTAAAACGTTTCAAGGCTTGTTCTGGCCCCATCATCAGGTAAAAACGTTTCAAGGCTTGTTCTGGCCCCATCATCAGGTAAAAACGTTTCAGGGCTTGTTCTGGCCCCCCATCATCAGGTAAAAACGTTTCAGGGCTTGTTCTGGCCCCATCATCAGGTAAAAACGTTTCAGGGCTTGTTCTGGGCTTGTTGTTCTGGCCCCATCATCAGGTAAAAACGTTTCAGGGCTTGTTCTGGCCCCATCATCAGGTAAAAACGTTTCAGGGCTTGTTCTGGCCCCATCATCAGGTAAAAACGTTTCAGGGCTTGTTCTGGCCCCATCATCAGGTAAAACGTTTCGCTTGTTTGGCCCCATCATCAGGTCACGGGCTTGTTCTGGCCCCATCATCAGGTAAAAAACGTTTCAGGGGCTTGTTCTGGCCCCATCATCAGGTAAAAACGTTTCAGGGCTTGTTCTGGCCCCATCATCAGGTAAAAACGTTTCAGGGCTTGTTCTGGCCCCATCATCAGGTAAAAACGTTTCAGGGCTTGTTCTGGCCCCATCATCAGGTAAAACGTTTCAGGGCTTGTTCTGGCCCCATCATCAGGTAAAACGTTTCAGGGCTTGTTCTGGCCCCATCATCAGGTAAAAACGTTTCAGGGCTTGTTCTGGCCCCATCATCAGGTAAAAAAACGTTTCATCATCAGGGGGCTTGTTCTGGCCCCATCATCAGGTAAAAACGTTTCAGGGCTTGTTCTGGCCCCATCATCAGGTAAAACGTTTCAGGGCTTGTTCTGGCCCCATCATCAGGTAAAAACGTTTCAGGGCTTGTTCTGGCCCCATCATCAGGTAAAACGTTTCAGGGCTTGTTCTGGCCCCATCATCAGGTAAAAACGTTTCAAGGCTTGTTCTGGCCCCATCATCAGGTAAAAACGTTTCAAGGCTTGTTCTGGCCCCATCATCAGGTAAAACGTTTCAGGGCTTGTTCTGGCCCCATCATCAGGTAAAAACGTTTCAGGGCTTGTTCTGGCCCCATCATCAGGTAAAACGTTTCAGGGCTTGTTCTGGCCCCATCATCAGGTAAAACGTTTCAGGGCTTGTTCTGGCCCCATCATCAGGTAAAAACGTTTCAAGGCTTGTTCTGGCCCCATCATCAGGTAAAACGTTTCAGGGCTTGTTCTGGCCCCATCATCAGGTAAAACGTTTCAAGGCTTGTTCTGGCCCCATCATCAGGTAAAAACGTTTCAGGGCTTGTTCTGGCCCCATCATCAGGTAAAAACGTTTCAGGGCTTGTTCTGGCCCCATCATCAGGTAAAAACGTTTCAGGGCTTGTTCTGGCCCCATCATCAGGTAAAAACGTTTCAGGGCTTGTTCTGGCCCCATCATCAGGTAAAAACGTTTCAGGGCTTGTTCTGGCCCCATCATCAGGTAAAAACGTTTCAGGGCTTGTTCTGGCCCCATCATCAGGTAAAACGTTTCAAGGGCTTGTTCTGGCCCCATCATCAGGCTTGTTCTGGCCCCATCATCAGGTAAAACGTTTCAGGGCTTGTTCTGGCCCCATCATCAGGTAAAACGTTTCAAGGCTTGTTCTGGCCCCATCATCAGGTAAAACGTTTCAGGGCTTGTTCTGGCCCCATCATCAGGTAAAACGTTTCAAGGCTTGTTCTGGCCCCATCATCAGGTAAAACGTTTCAGGGCTTGTTCTGGCCCCATCATCAGGTAAAAACGTTTCAGGGCTTGTTCTGGCCCCATCATCAGGTAAAACGTTTCAGGGCTTGTTCTGGCCCCATCATCAGGTAAAACGTTTCAGGGCTTGTTCTGGCCCCATCATCAGGTAAAAACGTTTCAAGGCTTGTTCTGGCCCCATCATCAGGTAAAAACGTTTCAGGGCTTGTTCTGGCCCCATCATCAGGTAAAAACGTTTCAGGGCTTGTTCTGGCCCCATCATCAGGTAAAAACGTTTCAAGGCTTGTTCTGGCCCCATCATCAGGTAAAAACGTTTCAAGGCTTGTTCTGGCCCCATCATCAGGTAAAAAACGTTTCAAGGCCCCATCATCTGGCCCCATCCCCATCATCAGGTAAAACGTTTCAGGGCTTGTTCTGGCCCCATCATCAGGTAAAAACGTTTCAAGGCTTGTTCTGGCCCCATCATCAGGTAAAAACGTTTCAAGGCTTGTTCTGGCCCCATCATCAGGTAAAAACGTTTCAAGGCTTGTTCTGGCCCCATCATCAGGTAAAACGTTTCAAGGCTTGTTCTGGCCCCATCATCAGGTAAAACGTTTCAGGCTTGTTCTGGCCCCATCATCAGGTAAAAACGTTTCAGGGCTTGTTCTGGCCCCATCATCAGGTAAAAACGTTTCAAGGCTTGTTCTGGCCCCATCATCAGGTAAAAACGTTTCAAGGCTTGTTCTGGCCCCATCATCAGGTAAAACGTTTCAAGGCTTGTTCTGGCCCCATCATCAGGTAAAACGTTTCAGGGCTTGTTCTGGCCCCATCATCAGGTAAAACGTTTCAAGGCTTGTTCTGGCCCCATCATCAGGTAAAACGTTTCAGGGCTTGTTCTGGCCCCATCATCAGGTAAAAACGTTTCAAGGCTTGTTCTGGCCCCATCATCAGGTAAAAACGTTTCAGGGCTTGTTCTGGCCCCATCATCAGGTAAAACGTTTCAGGGCTTGTTCTGGCCCCATCATCAGGTAAAAAACGTTTCAGGTAAAAACGTTTCAGGGCTTGTTCTGGCCCCATCATCAGGTAAAACGTTTCAGGGCTTGTTCTGGCCCCATCATCAGGTCAAAACGTTTCAAGGCTTGTTCTGGCCCCATCATCAGGTAAAACGTTTCAAGGCTTGTTCTGGCCCCATCATCAGGTAAAACGTTTCAGGGCTTGTTCTGGCCCCATCATCAGGTAAAACGTTTCAAGGCTTGTTCTGGCCCCATCATCAGGTAAAAACGTTTCAGGGCTTGTTCTGGCCCCATCATCAGGTAAAAACGTTTCAGGGCTTGTTCTGGCCCCATCATCAGGTAAAAACGTTTCAGGGCTTGTTCTGGCCCCATCATCAGGTAAAAACGTTTCAGGGCTTGTTCTGGCCCCATCATCAGGGCTTGTTCTGGCCCCATCAAAACGTTTCAGGGCTTGTTCTGGCCCCATCATCACGTTTCAGGTTCTGGCCCCATCATCAGGTAAAAACGTTTCAGGGCTTGTTCTGGCCCCATCATCAGGTAAAAACGTTTCAGGGCTTGTTCTGGCCCCATCATCAGGTAAAAACGTTTCAGGGCTTGTTCTGGCCCCATCATCAGGTAAAAACGTTTCAAGGCTTGTTCTGGCCCCATCATCAGGTAAAAACGTTTCAAGGCTTGTTCTGGCCCCATCATCAGGTAAAAACGTTTCAAGGCTTGTTCTGGCCCCATCATCAGGTAAAAACGTTTCAAGGCTTGTTCTGGCCCCATCATCAGGTAAAAAACGTTTCAGGGCTTGTTCTGGCCCCATCATCAGGTAAAAACGTTTCAGGGCTTGTTCTGGCCCCATCATCAGGTAAAAACGTTTCAAGGCTTGTTCTGGCCCCATCATCAGGTAAAAACGTTTCAGGGCTTGTTCTGGCCCCATCATCAGGTAAAAACGTTTCAAGGCTTGTTCTGGCCCCATCATCAGGTAAAACGTTTCAGGGCTTGTTCTGGCCCCATCATCAGGTAAAAACGTTTCAGGGCTTGTTCTGGCCCCATCATCAGGTAAAACGTTTCAGGGCTTGTTCTGGCCCCATCATCAGGTAAAAACGTTTCAGGGCTTGTTCTGGCCCCATCATCAGGTAAAAACGTTTCAGGGCTTGTTCTGGCCCCATCATCAGGTAAAAACGTTTCAGGGCTTGTTCTGGCCCCATCATCAGGTAAAAACGTTTCAGGGCTTGTTCTGGCCCCATCATCAGGTAAAAACGTTTCAGGGCTTGTTCTGGCCCCATCATCAGGTAAAACGTTTCAGGGCTTGTTCTGGCCCCATCATCAGGTAAAAACGTTCTTCAGGTAAAACGTTTCAGGGCTTGTTCTGGCCCCATCATCAGGTAAAAACGTTTCAGGGCTTGTTCTGGCCCCATCATCAGGTAAAAACGTTTCAAGGCTTGTTCTGGCCCCATCATCAGGTAAAAACGTTTCAGGGCTTGTTCTGGCCCCATCATCAGGTAAAACTCAAATCATCAGCTCTGAAACGTTGTACTCAAGAATGAAAAGAAGATGTAATCCAGAAAATCTCTATGTTCATCATATAGCATCTTCTAAAATGACAATCAAGCATCTGATCTAAAGTTATACATACTACATATAAGTATGTGACTGATATTGATTCTTCACCCTTACAGGATTTGCAAAGCGTTATTGTCACTTTGGTAAAACCTAGGAACATGGGTATAGTGATAACAGACAAAGGACAATAAACATGGGGAATTCGATGATGCACAGTAAATAACTAGTTCGTTTGATACAGTTTCGAAAACTAGTTCGATCTTAAAGAATATCATCCCCACCACGATACCCACACATCAGATAAATGCTAGCTCTTACAATATAAGTAAAGCCTAGGAACGCCGTAGACATATTCCAAAGTGGAATTGCGACAAACCTTCGTATTCAGTAACAACTCTCTGAGTATAAATACTCCCAGGAATCCCGTTGCCCCTGTCAACAAGACTCGCCCCTTATGGAAATGATGACGATGGTGGAAGGTCCGCCAGAATGCACGCAGTTGAATATCTAGACTGGAATAACACATGATACAGTTAAACCCGGTTAGCTACAGTGTTGTAACTCTTGTAATGATAACCGTAGAATTCATGCTGACACTGCGGTCGAATATCATACTTCTGCTTGTCTTTAACTATACACTATACCAATGTGTTTCAAAGCATTAAAATATGAGGGTTGAGTAACATTCGTTTATTGGCTGCACCATAGTTACTAACATAGACCATTCCGAACGTCATACGTAAATAGGGACCAATTCTACCCGGGAATCGAAAAGAGCTCCGAAATTTTTGTATAGGGCTTGCATTTCACAAATATTTTCAAATCCAATCCAAAAGAATGTAAGGTTAAGAATCATGTGTTTCCTTGCTAGGGTGTGGAGCTGACAAAAAAAGAAACACCTAATATTCAAATTGCCGGATTGTGGCCACTGGGTCACCAACAGCAGGTGCGCTTACTTGAGGACGCCCTGGTCGTGTTTCTCGACCTCCGCCTTGAGGTCCAGCTTGGGTCTCTGGGCGGGGCACTTGGTGACAGTGTTGTTCAGTTTGTTGTCTAGCAGTCGACTCAGACTGTACACGGTTGGGTAGGAAAACAGGTCCTGTACGGCGATCCGGAGGCCGAACTGCTCCTGGACCACGTTCAGCAATTGGGCAGCCAGGAGGAGTGACTGGAACAGAATAGATCATGTGAGGGATACGGTGCGATAAATAGTTCATAGCCTGTCAGCTTTGGTTCCAGAAGTAAGTTCCAACTGGCGCATGTCTTTGACGCTTACATTGAGGCGACACTCGCGAGCATGAGTAGATACTGTCATACCAAAAGTCTATATCAGGTGACAGCATATAAACGACAAGAAACGATAATAAAACACAAACACAAACGTAATAGTACTTTGGATGTAGATGCAATGGCGCTCAGTAACGGACCATTGTGTAAAATATCCACTAAAACATAATTGCGCATTTTTTTTATTTTGCTATCGGAACTTTCCAAATTTATTCGTTTTTCTGAATGATTTGCTCACTCGCACTGAGGATTCAGAAGCCACAACGCAAATTGCCTGAACAGGATGTCTACCAGAAGAAAGCAGAGAGGAATTGTATCTGAGTTGCACTGGTTGTAATCTCTATGTGTTTGGTTCGTAGATTTGTAGCGGGAAATTAAGAAGTTATTATTATTTTACCAACACTGGAATATTTGGACCTTAAGTTAATATAATATGTTGTTAACCAAATGTGAAATATATTCGTTTACCCTCCCATATCAAAGAAACTCTCTTGAATGTCGATGTCACGCATCTGGAGGACTCTACACCAGATGTCCGCAACCTTGACCTCCGTTTCGGTTGTGGGACGACCTTCAACTTCACCTTCCTCTGAATCCTGTTTTTCAAAAGGCGGCAGAGACTTCTTGTCCAGCTTCCCTGTCGCTTTCACAATGGGAATACTGAGAGGTGAAAACCACATGTGTTAGTTTGGGGAAAAGGAAAACAGCATCAACTCACATGTTCTATAGCAGAATCCCACACAATGACAATAGAACCCTGACCGTTAAACCCAGGTCTTCGGCGTGATGAGCGAACCCTTTAACCACAAGGCTACCCCACCGCCCTTACCTTTTAAGGATCACGAAGTAGGATGGTATCATGTAGAAGGGCAGCCTTCTCTTGAGGGCGGCTCTCACTTCCTTCTTGTTGGTCTGACCTTCTGGCACGAGGTAGGACACCAAGAACTTGTCCTCCCCTTCTTCGCCCATCACCAAGACAACGCACGCGTTCACCATAGGTAGTGACATCAGGGCGGACTCAACGGCCTACAACAGAAATATGTCACACATTATGTTTGAAACATGCACGTGAACTATGCGTCAAGATTTGTGTTGTTGTTTAACACCTCACTCAGCAATGTTCCAGCTGAGGACCGTATGACGACTGTCTGTAAATAATCGAGTCTGAGGACCAGACAATCCAGTGATTGGCATGATGAGCACCAATCTACACTATGTTGGGATACGATGACATGCTTGATCCATGTTAAGGTCAGCGAGTCTGATCACTACCTTAAGTCTATGTTAGGGTATGGGAGTGTCACGTTAGCGCTACGACAACCTCTATGTTAAGATATGCTGAAGACCTTAACGCTTAACTACCTTACCTCTATGTTAAGGTATGGAAGATACGGTCACCTTAGCGCTAAGACCTTACGTCTATGTTAAGGTATGGGACATACGGTCACTTAGCGCTAAGACTACCTTAAGTCTATGTTATAAGGTATGGGAGTTACGGTCACCTTAGCGCTAAGATCGCTTTGTACATCGGCACGTTGATCCCGTTATTTGCATCTTACGACAAACATGGGTTGCTGAAGACCAATTCTAACCCGGATCTTCACGTGCGTATGCGTAATAAATATTACTAAAGCGTTATCATCAAGATGGCGTGATCCATCTTATACACCAGGTCAGTATAAGAAACTCATCACGCTGTATCTTGTGAAGTGTCGACTTTTGTGTGTCGACTGCAGCGCTATTGTGGCTATAGTGCTAAGAGCGGCGTAAAAGCATACCCGTTCACTCACTCGTACTGTCTTCAAGTCAAGTCAAGTCTTTTATTTCGTATGACGGCCTTCGGCCCATATACAAATATACAAATAGTTATTACAATATTTGATGAATGCTGCATAGGTACACTGTAAACACGATTAATTTAACATCAGAGGCATGATGAAATACAAATATATTATCCATTAACCAGCCGCTGTCGTAGCTCAAAGCTCAAACAAAAATATTTACAAAGATTATTTAATAACTCAGTTGATGTAGAAGATAATAATTGATTGAATTTATAGGTAGACGGATTGTCGTTGTACATTTGTGGCAAATAACAGTTTCTTAAATTATTGTAGCATTCACATATAAGTATAAAGTGAAATTCATCTTCTATTCCTTTATTACATATGGGGCAAATACGTTGATTAAAATCAACTCCCAAAAAGCGGCGTAAAACCCAACCACCGTCCCTCATTAACCTTTAGTTTTAAAATACCCGCTCTGGTCTTAGGGTTCGGGTGACCCATTCGTCCTGTGTTCGACGTTTCATTTTTGTGTGAAGAGTTACGTCTCTTAGGCGAGCTAGAAACCTATGATCTTAGTTTCGAATCCCAGATTTGCACTGATTATAATTCTGGGTTTGTCAGAACCATACCACGTTACCCGTGGATTTCACCCAAATGGTGAACGCCCAAGACTTGCATTACTTCGGGCTTTCCTCCCTGAAATACCGAACCTATATCTCACCTGTACTTCAATGGAGTACCCTCTGACCTTCACCATAGAGTCACACCTGCCGCATATTTCCAGGCTACCGTCGGAGAGGACGTATCCCCAGTCTCCTGTCCTGTAGAGGACGTCCCCGTACGACGCCGGCACGGTGTCTGGTCGCTGGATGAAGCGCTTCTCCTGGATGTCGGGTCGCTTGAGGTATCCACGAGCCAGGGTGGGGCCACTGACGAATATCTGGAAAAAATTCAAAAGGAGTAATTTTTCTATGAAGGACAAAACGTGTCCAGCGGGCAAATATCTGAATTAAAAACGTCAAAAGGATTCGTATCGGTATCTTTGCGAGAAAAAACGAATAGTTTTATTATTTCTTTTGCGCCAATATTTAATGGAGCATAACGACGGGGTAAATTATATGATCACACAGTTCACACAGCAGATGGTTATCTGAAGAAGAAAGGAAGGAAGGGAGGAACAACATAAACCACAGGCGAATATCTGATATTCGTATGGAATACACAAGAGATTTAAGGAGCGCTTCCGGTCGGTATGTTTTGCACTAGATACTAGTAAATAATGATAGCAGCGCTGGGATCCCTATTTTGACTTGTTGACTTGTACCATAAATTCCCGTTCTTTTTTCGGTGAACAATTGACTTGCCTTTGAATGTGTTTGTGACGGGTGCCCCTGATGGAGGACGATACGATAATCGTTTAGCGAACACCTGGTACCATCACCATTTGGCAGTGAGTCACAAACCCAAGCATAGGATTTAGTCGTCATCCAAAAATAAACTATTGTTATAATTATGGAATGTATTTGTCGCCTTTTATTCACGAGTACGACATCGGATCCCCTCTTAAGCTTAGACTGTTATCGTTCTTCAATTGATCGACCTTTACTGTATAGTTTTTCCTGTATAGTGGTTGTAAATCACCAAATAATCCATTCGCTCCAGCTTCACTTACCTCCCCTGGCATTCCGACAGGCTGGATTTGTTGGTCCTCGTTCAAGATGGCGACACGAACGCCTGGTAACAACTTTCCGACGGGACAAAACTTTCTCGACATCATGGATTCCTGAGAAAAGCACAAAACAACAATGCGTAATCTTGGTGTCCAAAAATGAAATAAAAGGTAATGACTACGTCGTACAAACATATAAACCATTGGCGTTGGTGTGGCCAGAGAATAAAACCAAAACATAAGAAATAAAGAGCACACCAATCCATGTAACACAAAACAGCTAAGTTACATACAAGTGCTGTTTGCTTCATAACTATCGCCGTCATCCTTTATCAACCGATTATTTTAGGAACGTTTTGAAACAATAATCCAGCTAAAACTCATGGAACCGTTTACCATCATTACGTAACCATGGTAACACTGGCAACGCCCTTTATGAAATATATAAAATGAATATATCATTACTTTCTTATTAGTGTAGTATGCTGTGAGATCTTCGCATGCAACGTCATGGCATTCCGAAATGCTGTACAGGTTGACAAAACGTATCCATGGCAACGTCTTGACGCACCTTCCAAGTAATGCCGTCGTCACCACCTCACCACAGAACCATATTTGTCTGGGTTAAAGAACGTTCCTGTTAAGGCACATGTATTTCCAGACAAATCGATGCGTCATGCAAAAGCGTGCTAATTAAACATACCACAGCGGGGAACATCAATTTTATGCTTTAAATTAACAATGTTATTGAATAAAAACGGTTGTTCAATACTGTAAATGACATTTTCGGATCATTAAAGATACGTCTGACAAAGGTAATGTAAAATACGTTTTTTCCTTTTCTTTGAACTTCGAAATTCAATACACTGAAATACCTGAATCGAAGTCTGGATGAAATATAATGTCCGTTTTTCACAATCAACACAGTCTGTGGCAAGTTTTGTTTAGTTATTATATAACGCCGAACTCAGAAATATTCCAGTTATTTAACGGGGGTCTGTAAATAATCGAGTCTGGACCAGACAGTCCAGTGATTGACATCATGTATATCGATTTGTGCAATTTGGATGCGTCAGTATCAGCTCAGTCAAAGAGCCTGACAAACTGAAAACTAATTCTAACCCTGGTCTTTACGGACTCTATTTAAAGGAGATTAACTGAAATCAAATGAAAGCAGGGAAACACACCTGTACACAAGTATCAACATCATATAAACATAAACATGTTGTTTATCAACGCATGTATTTGATTACCTGAGAAATTGGTCAAATCCTTAACGATGTCCCCGCTATACTAGACCAGTACCTGGTAGACACGATGCGCAATAGCTTCTGTGCATCCTGTCTGTCTCAAAGGTCTTCCCGGGGTATTGGAAGTTCAAGTACACATGCTATTCCCAGCCTGATATGGTAGCCATGGGTAAATAAATTGTGCAATTGTAACCTTTGCTATGCATTCAGCGACCATGGCCGTTTCTTCAACCCTTCCAAATCATAATGTCAATAGGGATATAAGGTCTATATCTATAGGTCATCTGTACTATATGCACATAGTTACCACTCTGTGGCCTTCACGTAGTGAGTGAGTAAGTATGGTTTTACGCCGCTTTTAGCAATATTCCAGCAATATCACGGCGGGGAACACGAAAAATAGGCTTCACACTTTGTACCCATGTGAGGAATCGAACTCGTCTCTTCGCCTTGACGAGCGAACGCTTTAACCACTAGGCTACCCCACCGCCCTGCCTTCACATAGACAGCTCAGAGATGATTGGTGAAGTCCAAGAGCAACGTGACCATCTACAGAACCCGGATGAACATTCATCAGCAGGCCGACATTTAGTTATTTTATCTTATTTAAAATCCATTTATCTAGAAAACAAATCCAAAATGGAGCCCACAACAATCTTCTAGACTTGCCAAATTATTCTAATCTTGAATAGTATTTTATGTACAATCTGGGATATAGAAGATTAATAACTATACATTTAATATATAACAGATGTTTTAAAACTTTAACTGTATGTATCTTTCCTCCTCAGGTATCACGAAGCGATGTAACTGGAAACATTTTCAGAGCGACCACTCACTCACTCACTCACTCACTCACTCTTTACTTCTTCTCCAGCGAGCTATGCCCTTAAATGAAACTACCTATAGCGTTCAAGTTACTAAATTGAAGGAATCTTTGTGATTCGCCAAAACTACATCTCTACGCAACAGTCTCTATTATTTTCTATTTTTATTTTGTGTGTCACCTTTACTTGTTGTTTTTTTCATTGGGGCGACAACGCTGCAAAGGCCGTTATTGGATTCAATATATACCTGTAAACAATTGAGTTCAAAGCTCTCATTAGAAATGCAATCTGATAATACGTGAAAGTTATCATCACACATTTGTACCCACCTGAGCGATTTCAGCGATTGTTTGAAGTCAATGTCTGCAGTGTTGAGAATTGTCTCCAGCAAAGATGGCGTGAAGAGGATGCGAGTGATGTTGTTGTTGCTGATGTTTTGACACAGTATGTGAGGGTCGTAGATGACGCAGTTGGGAATAATACACATTGGCACACCTGGAGAAGAACATGGCAATGATTGTGTCAGCTTGATATGGTGGAAGTGATGCGGTTCTTGGATGTTTTCCATCTCGGCGAGACCCACGTGCAAGGGTACCGAGCTCACAAACCTAACAATCTTGGATTCTAACCACGCCCACAGGTTCCTGATACGCCAAAGACGCGCAACACTGCAGAACAAAACGGTTCCTCAGATCAAGTATATATACCTCGTATAAGTCAATATAGACATTACAGAGGACAGAAGAGGTGAATTGTCACGTTTACCATGTCTATATCAACACGAACAGTAATAAATAATATATGCTATTGGATAAATACCATGACTTTATGTAAATATTTCCTATAATTTAGTAAACGGAAATTCTATTTTTTACAATGAAGTACATTCACTTACAATAATGTCTTTTAATTAGGTCGGAGAATCCAATTAATATGCTCCAAGAAACAAACACAATGGACATACCAGGAACCGTACGCTCTGTCACGTCTCCGCGAGCAGGAATATATATTATTATATCTGAATATGTGATAGACCAGAGGTCTAAACTTCGGTTTGACTATTTAGCTGAACAGAGAAAATCTGTTTACCTTTGAGTATGGGCCGGAGCATCTCCCATACAAAGAATATGTTGCTGCCCTCTGTTTCCCCTTCACCATACGGGTAACTGATGTGACGCCAGTGATAGGAAAATACGGCTCCCCGGTGGGGACACATTATACCTTGAAGGACGAGAATATACAGTTACGCGCACTTTCATAATAATAAAATACGCTCTGTGTTACAAGATAGATTAACATTTATCAGTATTACTTTATCATTAATGATGGGACTTCCTCAATTAAATAGTTTTGTTGGTAGTTACTCAGGTCACCAATCAAGTGAAATTAAGCAACGTTGGGCAGCGGAGAGTCTTTGGATGGGTGACCGTGTTTGGCAGCTTGACTCCTGAGAGTTTCTAGTCCTGCCCAACAATGAAGCACACGTGATACATGTGGTCTCACCTTAGGCAAGTAAGTTTGTTCAAAATTGCCTCTGTTCACCCAGCAGAAAATGGGTGCCCGGTGGGATAAAGTCACAGGCAGCTTGGGTTATCCAGGGTAATAAAATCAGATTGTTTGGGCGATTCGAGCATGCTTTGTGCATGGGGCAATGCGCATGATATATGGACTATTATTATTATGATACAGTCCTTGCATGGCATTTATAAGTGATTCACATAAAGGGTATGTGGTTATCCGTAAATTTACTCAGATTCAGTGAAGGTATCACTCCAGGGATCAGCTTACTAAAGCTAAGCACTCATAATATTTTTCTTTCAGAAACATATCTTTTCGACTCAATCCAGTATTGCATGCATGAGCAATCGTTCACACTGTAAAGTCTGAATACTAGATTAAATATGGTGGCCTCTCTCCACTATTCTTGGTTTGTTTGTGTGGTTTAGCACCACGCTCAGGATTCAGAATTATCAGTATTATATGTATAAATATTCGACTCTAGACAAGCCATCTAGTGACCCGCATGATGAACAACGACCCCACTCGATCATTATATTGATAAAAGGTCGCATTATATTGACAACAAAGTGTGTAAACATTAGACATCATTGCCACCAGGACCTAACTGGTCGAGTGTGTTCACCTTTAGGTCTGCCTGTTGTTCCAGACGAGTACACGATATAGGCAAGGTTGTCAAGCGTCACCTCTTGTTGTATTTGGTCGCCTTTGTGTTGGTCGATCTGTTGCTGCAGGCGATCTTGCCAGCCTTCCGCCATTATAACCACATTGGGCGAATCTGGAAATGTAAAAATAGTTGTATTCTGTCTTTTCAGAGAGAAAGACACGGAGAGAGAGGCAGACAGACAGGCAGGCAGAGAGAGAGAGGGGCAGAGAGAGAATGACAGTTGGTATAACGGAATAATTCCTTGAAGAAATTAACAACTTGTATTTGGCTTAAGACAAAATGAAATAGAGGCATCAAAAGGCGAGAGAGAGAGAGAGAGAGGAGGGAGGATATAAACTATACTTATTCCCCAGAATACACTCTTCCGTTCAACATACGTCATGTTTATGAATAGACCTTGTCCTATTATTTCCCAATGACGCATCCTTCAATCACACTATACCATTAAGCCTGATTCGTGCAGTAAAAACGTGGCTGTCAATCAGTAGTTCAACGACATCATTACAGGTCAGATATAAAATATATTGATTGACCAATTTCTTCGACATCGTCATCACTCGTGGTGTTAGGAAACACATATCACTTGAGAAATCGGGATGGCGGGAAAATGGTTTTAGACGTTCCATTTCAGTGATGCAGTTGACATAATGCGAAAAGAAATTAATATCAAGATTCTTCCAAGTTGGTCTGACGCCTAAAGCCACCCTCTTGAGGGTGCAATGGTCGAAGCTCATTCTTGGTGTTCATCAGCGAAGACTCGCTGCTAAAGTGCTAAACGCCAATCTCTCATTCACAATTACCTGAAAACCAGTCCAAAACATAGTTCAATATTTCTACAACTGT